CATGCCCCCGGAGAGCCAACCGGCACCCTTTGCGCTGCATCCAATTTTGGGAGCCAGGAGCCCTCCCCTCGGCATCCCAACCCCCAGGGGATGAGGGTGCAACCCTTGGGGCAGGGGCTGGCTCCCTTTGCCTGCCATCTCCCCTGTTAAATCACCTCTATCGCCTGGGGATGCTCTGGGACCGGTCCCATCGGTGCTGTGGTGGATGGCCCAAATAAAGGGGTCCTTCCCACCCCACTCAGTGTCACATCTGCACAGTTAAACCCGGCCCCGTGGCTGCTGGGCTCCCATATTTCATTCAGTGCTTTCTCCTCCCTCACCCCTGGGCTGCTGCCAGGTCTGGTTGGAGGGATGCCCATCTACACTGTGCTTTTAGAACAAACCTGGTTTTCATTCTTCCCCGAATTTTCTGCCATATGCCAGCAATGGCAGCATTTTGCCACCAGCCAGCACCAGGGAAGAGTGGGGATGTGAAGGATGAGCAAAACCCAGGGAGAAACATGAAAGAGAAAGATGGAGGGGAGAAATAAGAGAGAAGGAGTGGAGAATGGGTACCAGGACCCTGAGAAATGCAGAAGCAGAAGGAAGGGTAGGATGGAAGGAAGGTGAAAACAGGTAGAGGAGAAATGTGGGGTAGGGCAAAAGAGGAAGGATTTCCTTCAAAATCACAGAATCACAGAATGGTGAGGGTTGGCAGGGCCCTCCGGGATCACCCAGTGCCACCCCCCTGCCCAAGCAGGCTCACCCAGAGCAGGGGGCACAGGACAGCGGCCAGGCGGGGGTTGAAGATCTCCAGAGAAGGAGACTCCACAGCCCCCCTGGGCAGCCTGGGCCAGGGCTCTTCCTGAGCCATGCTATCACAGCATTTGCATTTGTCTCCATTTTGGCTGCTCTTGAAACCCAGCCTGGAAAACAAGAAGCTCTTTCCCGGTTATTAACTGAGCAGAGACTCATTATACAGCTCAGCGTATCCTCACGGGAGGAAAAGGACGATGGACAGGCTCCTTTGGGTGGCAACCAGACAGCACAGAATCATAGAATCACAGAATCGTTTGGGTTGGCAAAGCCCTTGAAGCTCCCCCAGCCCAACCGCTCCCCTACCCCTGCCATCCCACCCCCAAACCCTGGCCCTCAGCACCACCTCTGCCCGCCTGTTAAATCCCCCCAGGGCTGGGGACTCGACCCCTTCCCTGGGCAGCCCCTTCCAGCGCCTGACAGCCCCAAGGGGAAGGAATTGTTCCCCATGCCCAACCTCACCCTGCCCTGGCACAACTTGAGGCCACTGCCCCTCATCCCATCACCCGTTCCCTGGGAGCAGAGCCCGACCTACAGGCATCAAGGGCTGGAGCTGGATGAGCAGCGAGTGTTGACATTGCAGTTGCATTGGCTTTGGCTCTTTCTCAGTGCCTCCAGCTCGTTCCTGACTTCACCAGCTGGTTTTTTCACCTGGACTTTGCCACTCCATACATTTCCAATATTTGCAGCACACTCCAGTCTCAGCATTGCCTCCTCCCATCAGGCTCCCTCCAAGCTTATTGCTGCAGCCATCCATCCTCCCCAGGGGGGGAACCTCGGAGCGGTCTATTGGCCTCTGGAGGATGAAGAAATGGGATCAGGGTCTGCAGCCTGCCCTCACCCCCTCATGCTCAGCTCTCCTGCAGAAGGAGATTGAAGGAGAAATGTGCCTGAGCAGCCAGAACTGGAGAACACCCAGTTATAGAGCTCTCTTGAGCTTAAAGATGTCCTCAACCTACTGGGGAGAGCTATTGAATTGTGGCTGCTTAATCCTAAATCTAATTTAACCTCACGTTTTCCTGGGAAAAAACTTGTTGGTGTTTGTTCAGGAAGGGATTTAAGATTCCAATTTGCTAAATGCACCGTGCACGGAGGAGATTATAAAATTTCTTTGGCCTGTCACTTGTTACTTCCAGAGATGGGAGATGGGATGTGGCAGTATCCAGCCTAGCAAAACCCAGCAAACTGAGTGCAGTTTTAATTGCACCCCCTGGTGAGAATTGCTCACTTGTGTTAAACCTCCCAGCCAAGGAAGAGGTTTCTGGGAGGATGAATTTCCTGGGCTTGCTCCTGAATGCTTTCTGACCACAGGTATTCCCTTTTCCTGTAGAAATATGCCTTGGTTCAGACTCACCCCCTTGTGAATTTATATCCCGTTTTTATTTATGCCAAGTACCCGCCCCGCAGAAAACGGGGTTATCTTTGGTGGAGTGCCCTGGGGGTGATGGGAGAGGAGGCTGGGTGAACTGAAGGCAGATGTAATCCTTATTAAAGCATTTTTAAAGATCGACTTCCATTGGTTGAGCTGCAAACCAGGCACTGGCTGATGGACCAGGCTGGTGGGCAGATGCTCCAGGGTCCAAGGCCTGCAGTGACCAGGGGGTCCTTGTGTGGGTAGCCGGGCTGTAAAAAAGCAAACCAGTGCTCTTGGATGCCAAAAGTTAATTGGAATCAACTCCATTTTAATCTTAAGAAAGGGTTTTTCATTCTGTATTGGCATACATCTGGGCTTAATCACCTTGAGTGAGTCTTTCCAAGCTTCTTCACAACACGGGTATCCCTTCTCTGAAAAAGCTGTGGTGGGGATGCTTTCCTTTGCCTTTTCCAGCTCTAGGACATCCCTGTCCCAGTTATTTCCATCCAGGGGGCTGAGTGGGTTTTTAGACACCCTGGTGACAATGAAGAAATGTGATTTAGCACCACGGGATGAGTCAGGGGCAAATGCTGCTCGGCCCCCAAAGCTGACGGCCCCCAGGTTGGGAGCCAGCACCTTGGAGCACGCTGACGTTTGGAGCGGCTGGGGCCCCCCATCGCCATCCCTTTGGTGCACGGGGGTTGCCTCCATTCACCCTTGATTTAATGCCCCTTTCTCCATTTGTGCTGCAGATGGAGTCCAGCTCACGAACAAAGACCCGCGGTGGGTCGGCGCCTGGTGGCTTGGTTTCCTGGTTGCAGCCAGTCTCGTGGCCGTGTCTGCAGTGCCTTATTTCTTCTTCCCGCGGGAAATGCCAAAAGAGGTAGGAGAGGTGCTGCGGATCACCCTGCTGGCATTGCTTGCAGATGCCTCATAGGTTTATACGTGTGCTCCTCCCTCGCCGCCAGCGCTAGCTGCCACATCCGTGGGAAGCACGACTGTGGAAGTGGCCGTGCAGTTGATAGCTGCATCCCAAAGTCAGATGTGAACCGTGGCTTGCTCTCATCTCCCGTGCTAGAGGCTCTTGTGTGCTCAGCAGATGCTTGGGGAAACCCAGCATGGTGCAAGCGGCTTAATGGATGTGCTAAGTTCCTTGGTGGGGCACTGGAACAGGTCCTGCGTGCCAGTTCCTCTGCATAGGAACACAGAGCACCAGGCAAGCCCTATGTGGGTTGAGATCCGTCTCAGAGCCACCCTCCTGGCTCACCTGGACATGGGACTCCTTGCCTTCCCGAGGGAATCATAGAATCATGGAATGTTTTGGGTGGGAAGGGACCCCCAGAGGTCACCCAGCCCAACCCCCTTGCAGGAGCAGGGACACCTTTAACCACATCAGGTTGCTCACAGCCCCGGCCAACCTGACTTGGGATGTGTCCAGGGATGGGGCTTCCACCCCCTCTCTGGGCAACCCCTGCCAGGGTTTCACCACCCTCACTGTAAACAATTTCTTCCTTAGATCCAGTCTAAACCTAGCAGCGGTCCTGCTCCTTCCACCGCATCTCTTTTGGGAGCTGGCAGGAGATGTTGCACTGATGTTTCCCTTCAGGAGGAGCTATGTGTGCTCGATGAGGAAACCCATCCCAGTTCATAGGAACTATGAATAATGCCCCGGGGGCCCTTCCTCAGAAGTGGGTTTGTACCTTGGGGGTGTTTGTACCCTGAGGCTGGAGGGTGGCTTGTCTCCTTTCCGCTGCAAAAGCCCTTTCTCACTGCTCGTGGTCCGTGGGGCTTGGGGTTAGCTGCTTCTCCAGCATCCAGCTTCACCCACCACCTCTTCTCCCTGCCACCTCTTTGCTGGCCAAAAGGATTTTAGACACCTTCCAGCCCCTAAATGCCCTGGCTCTGTGAAGTCCTCAGGGATAACTGGTGGGGGAAAGCCTTTTGCCGCTTGGACCCGCTCTCGCAAGCCGAAGGGACCTCCGCCTGCCTGCTGCTTGGGGGATGCTTGCCCCTGTCCCTTGCTGGAGCCCACTGGTGGGGCAATGCCTCGCTCTGTGTTTGCTGCCAGGGTTTTTACTTCTCTGGAGCCCTCCTGAGTGCTTCAGTGCTCATGCCAAGGATGACACAGCTCGCAAGCTTCACTGGCTGCAGGTCCCGGTTTTCCGGCAACCGGCGTGTCGTGAAGGATAATACAAACCAGATACCATACAAAACCCTTTGAGAGGACGCATCATGTAACGGCTTTGAATGCTATCGAGGTTGCTGGGACGCACTTAGTGGGTGAAACCGCGCTCGTCTCGATGTCTTGGCCACACTCCAGCCTGCGTCACTGTCTTTCACGTGTGTTTTACCTTGGGGCAGTGTTGAAACTCTCTTGTCGAAACAAGCCCATGCACTGTCTGGTGCAGGGTAAATCTTCGTTCCTCCTGCCGCTGCCTGAATTTCCACAGGAATGAGTGATTCCTAGGAAGATTTGTTTCACCTGCCTGGGAAAATATGACCTGTTGTACCAGTTACGCCCCTGGGGATATAATGATCTACTCCTGGGTTATGGATGCTGTGAGGTTTCCAAAGGTGCTGCGGTCCTGAGAGGTAATGGGGTGGAAACTGCTCAGCGCTTCGCAGGGTGAGGGTGATACTGGATGCAATGCACCTGATTTATCATAGAATCATAGAATGTCTTGGGTTGGAAGGGACCCCTAGAGGTCATCTAGTCCAACCCCCCTGCAGTGAGCAGGGACACAGAATCACAGAATCACAGAATCCCAGCATGGCCGGGGTTGGCAGGGCCCTCTGGAGCTCACCCAGTGCCACCCCCCGCCCAAGCAGGCTCACCCAGAGCAGGGGGCACAGGACAGCGGCCAGGCGGGGGTTGAAGATCTCCACAGAAGGAGACTCCACAGCCCCCCTGGGCAGCCTGGGCCAGGGATCGGGCACCCTCACAGCCAACAAGTTCTTCCTACCATAGCCTTCTCTTCTCCAGGCTGAACAAGACCAGCTCCCTCAGCCTTTTCTCATAGGGGAGATGCTCCAGTCCCCCTCATCATCCTTGTTGCCCTCCTCTGGACTCTCTCCAGGAGTTCCTCATCTTTCTTGAACTGGGGAGCCCAGAACTGGACACAGAGCTCCAGGTGGGGTCTCACTGGGGCAGAGTAGAGGGGGAGGAGAACCTCCCTCATCCTGCTGGCCACGCTCCTCTTACTGCACTGCTAACCAGATCAGGTTGCTCAGAGCTCCGTCCAATCTGACTTTGAATGTTTCCAGGGATAGGGATTTATCCTTGGGAAGCTTGGCTCGCTTTGAAGTCATTAGGGATGATCGATATTAGCAGAGCCGTCTCAGTGTGTGAGGGTGGCACGCTGCGTCTTAGGAGAAAGGCTCTTTATTAGGGCTGGTGGGAATATTAATCTTGTAAATGGCTCTTGAGAGAAAATAATCTACTTCGAAGTAAACCAACTGCACTGGTTTTGCAAGCACTGTGCTCTGATCAGTCTGATCAGTTCTGAAAGGTCTAAGGAAGGATTGGTTGGATATTGATTTAAGAAAAGAGTGGGAGGATGTCGCCTGCTCTTCTGGCTGGTCTCTGCAGGGAGTGCTTCCACCTGGCTGAGCACCCTTTTATCCCCTTGCAGCCCAGGTCTTCCAGATTTTCCCTCCATTTTACCATTTCCCCCAGAAAGCTTTTGGAAACTGTTTACAGTAAAAAATAATAATAGGAAAATAACGTAAGTGATGGCAAAATTCTGCCTTCCTTGCAGGGTGGCAGAGGCCAGGGCCAGCTGAGCCAGCTTGTGTCTGTCCCACAGGGGTATCAGCACCTCCAGCAGCAGCAAGGGGCCCTGCTTAAAAACAACCCAAAAGCCTCTTTAGAAACTTTGCCAGATGCTGCTCTGGGTAAAACATCTGTCTGCTGTGGGCGCACTCGAAGCTCTGTAGGAAATCTGTGTTGTCACAGGTGATTTTCTGTCGGTATAGCAGAAAAAAAAATAATCATAGAATCATAGAATGCTTTGGGTGGGAAGGGACCCCTAGAGGTCACCCAGCCCAACCCCCCTTCAGGGAGCAGGGACACCTTTAACCAGACCAGGTTGCTCACAGCCCCATCCAACCTTGCTCACCCTTGGAGTAAATCAGTTTTGGCTGAGGGTGTAAGCATGAGTTCTCTTCCATCGCAGAGGGCAGCCCCCTTTCCTGGGGTGTTTGGACCTTTTCAAGTCCAAATGGTTGGACTTGATGATCTGAAAGGTCTTTTCCAACCTAAACAATTCCATGATTCCTCACCAGTGAGCTGGAGGCAGCAGCGTCTCTAGGGCCACCGAATTACTGCACCCACTGTTGAGCTTGTTAGAGATGTGGTTCCCCTCCAAAGGAGCATGAGACCGGGATATATCGCAAACCCCTGAAGAACTGACACTGTGACAACCTTTGGGTTAACCCTGTCTAATCGCAGCTGCAGCTTCAAAGACGGTCGTCATTTCCTTGGCTGCCTTCGGTTTCAGGGTTTCTGCCTGTCCAAAGCAGGAGAAAAGCTACCAGCAGAGGAACCACAAAGCTTCAAGTGCTTGTAGCATCACCTGGGCTTTTCCACCGTGTTCATAAAGCCCTAGCACAGTATCTTACCCATAGCAAACACCTCCAGGCATGGCAGCCATAATAACACATGGGGAAAGCGCAGGTCTGCTCTGCCTGCAGAAGAAGCTGAGATGTTTCTGCACCACCAGCGGTGGGCTTAATTTCTGGAGGTCAAAAAGGAATTTCAGGTGCCCCAGACCAGGCTGTCCTTGTGCCATTTGCTGTCTGAAGACCCCTGGGGCCACGCATGTCTCGGTAGATGATGAGGCTGCCTAGGAATAACATGCCCACACTGAGCTCTGGGTATGTTTCCCCGCTGTAGAGTCCACCAAAGGAGATGACAACAGCAAAGACTTGCCTGTGGCTCAGTCCTTGCTGCTGAAAGCAATATTTCTCCTCTCTGATTCTCATCCTAACTTCATTTTCCTTTCTTTCTCCTGCCTCACCCCATGCAACTCATCCGAGCCCTTGGTGGTTTCTCCAGACCAAGGATCACCCTCCTCAGTGGGCATCATCCAGCAAACATTGAATAACAGCAGAGCCCTCTGCCTATTTGGAGACTTCCTTGCCTCCTCCTGTCAGCAGAGACAGACCCAGATTATTTATTCTACAACCACATTCCAGCTTTACCTTTATTTTATAGCTTCTTTCTTTGAAGTTCCTGGAACGGCTTGTGCACTTAATGTTGACATAATGATAATAAGACTTCATTCTTTTGATCTTTTTTTCATAAATCAATGACTCCCGACCCAGAACAGTTTTATTTCTCTGCTTTGAAACTTGTCGGTAAGTTTCTAGCACCGAAGTATCCTGAATAATCCTATCTGGGTGACAATCACAGCCAAGCTATAAAGTTGTCATGAGCTCAGGCAGGGGATGAGAGGATGAGGCTGTTACTGGATGAACTGTTTCCAGTCGAGACCAGGATTTTTTTTCCAATAATGCCAGTTTAATGCCATCTCCATGAGCCTGAACTCAGGGAGTTGTCCTGGATTCTGGGGAACTACGGCGTTCGAGAATTTTCCAGCTGCTGAGTAGCCAAAGTTTAGCTTGTGCTTCACCATCCATTGCTGGTGATGTTGTTGTATCCCAACCCAGGCAGTTGTATTCTGTCTGCTAAAGGCCTTCCCCATGTTTTTCATAGAATCATAGAATCTCAGGTTGGAAGGGACCTCAAGGATCATCTGGTCCAATCTTTCCGGGCAAGAGCACAGTTTAGACAAGATGGCCCAGCACCCTGTCCAGCTTTGTCTTTAAAGTGTCCAGTGTGGCGGAGCCAACCCCTTCCCTGGGCAGATTATTCCAATGGTTGACTGTTCCCATGGGAAAAAATTTCCCTCTCATGTCCAATTGGAATCTTCTCAGGATCAACTTGTGTCCATTCCCCCTTGTCCTCTCCATGGGACTCCTTGTGAAAAGGGAGTCTCCATCTGCCTTGTAGCCACCCCTTAGGTACTGGTACGTGGTGATGAGATCCCCTCTGAGCCTCCTTTGCTCCAGGATGAACAAACCCAGCTCTCTCAGCCCATCCCCATATGGCTGAGAGAGGCTTCCCAGGCCTTGGGTCACCTTGGTAGCCCTGCTCTGGACCCCTCCAGCCTGCCCACAGTTTTTTTGTACAGCAGGGACCAGAACTGGGCACAGGATTCCAGGTGTGGCCTGACCAGCGCTGAGCAGAGTGGGATGATGACTCCTTTCTCTCTGCTGGTGATGCCCTTGTTGATGCCCCCCAGCACCCCATTGGCCACCTTGGCCACAGCAGCACCCTGCTCCTCTGTGTGTCTGGAGCTTGTTGTCCACCAGGACCCCAGGTCCCTTCCCACAGAGCTGCTCCCCAGCCGGGTGGATCCCAGCCTGTGCTGCACTCCTGGATTGTGTTTTCCCAGATGCAAGACCTTACACTTGTCCGCGCTGAACTTCATAAGGTTCTTGCTAGCCCACTCTTCCAGCCTCTCCAGATCTTCCAGCAGGGTGGCTACCCCTTCCAGAGTGTCCACTTCCCCACTGGTAACACACCTCCCCAGTGCCTGCAGCTCCCCCGGTGATGTGACAAGGGTTTGAAAAGGCAAAGTTTGAAACAAAAGCAGGAGCATCGCCCTCGCTTGGCATTTCTGGTGTGCCAGACCTGCCCTGTACACCCACTTGTCTCCCGGGTCAGGCTTCATTCTGTGACACTCCAAAGTAACGTGGAAGCAAACATCTCAAAGGGGGCGGTGATGCCTCCTCCTCACCCTGCCCAAGCCTCCCCTGTAACGTCAGCAGTTGTCACCTGCAAACAGATGCCTCGTGAGAAAGCTCAGATGGGTTTTATGGGAAGGAGGGCTACATGTCCCGGTCGTGTCCAAGCCCTGTCAGCTCTGGTTCACTGTCACGCAATCCCCTCTGGATATCTGTCCGTCCCATCAGTGCTTTCCTCCCAAGCCTTGCCATCAGGTGGTTTCAGAAACTTATTTCCCTGCGTCTTGCAAAGCCCTGTTGAACCTCCAGCCTGTGGTTCAGCCTTTAGTTCATTGTTCTGCCCCTAATCCTGATGAAATATTTTTTTTCCTACTCATTGCCGTATTGGCATCATGGAAAGCGTTGCTTTTTGGGGGGCGAGGGAGGGTAGCTGGTCCCCTGCTGCTTCTTCTCCATCCCAGGAACTCTGCTCTTCACCCATCCCAGCCACAATCGGATTTTCCCAGTGCTGCACTGGTCTGGATCTGGTCTCCGGTGGTGCTGGAGGAGGGTCTGCACCCCCCAGGCTCTCCTGGAAACATCATCCTCGATTCTTCCTCACTTACTCCTACCATGGCCTCACCATGTGCTCACGCAGAGGTAGACCCAGAGCTTTTTGCCATTCTCCTCCTCTCATTTCCAGCATTTCCAGCTGTGCGGCAGAAATTATTTTTAGACCCTAAGTGCATGGCTGTGCCCTTCGCACTAAGTTTGGTTTGGTTCCTGTTATTTCAGCCCTCTAGGTGCCTTGTTTTTCCTACCCGGTGTCCCAGCCCACTCTGTATGGACAATTTCCACCTTCCTTCTCCTCTGCCGATTTGGTGGCACGCGTCTTCTCGCTGTGCCAAGCGGCTTACTGAAAATATTAGCTGGGGCTTGCCAAACTGCCAAGGAAAGCACCGGCACCTCCCAGCAGCTCAGCACATCCCCCTGGGATGCTCCGCTCTCTTTCTCCTGTTTAGCCATGTTGGGTTTGCTCTCCTAATTTTCGCTCCCTGCAGTTTAGCTGATGTTTTCCCACTTGGTGCTCCCCGTTCTGCTTTGCCCAGGTCCGTAGAGAGTAGAGGTGCTGCATTCCCCCTCTACTCTGCCCTGGTGAGACCCCACCTGGACCTCTGTATCCAGTTCTGGGCTCCCTGGTTCAAGAAAGATGAGGAACTCCTTGAGAGA